CGCACCATGTCTGCCTTGAGGCACTTTCTCCATATATCCCTCATTCCTACTTTGAAAGTTCACCATTTTTGCTCACTGTACACATTATTTACCCATAAGCACATAGCACGTTATTTTATGTGGTATTTAGAAAATCTGTAGAAACAAGGCAATAAACTGTCCAGTGGAGCATGGCTCAGCCTCAGTATAAATTTGGGGGGGGGGTTTATTTGACATACTGATCGCCAAATTTAACTCTTTCTACATGCCTAGACCTATTACCTTGACATTTAAGACTCATCTTGTAAAACTGCTTGAAGAAATAGTCTTTTAGTAATAGATACTAAAGAGATAGTTAAGTCTGAACCCTGTCTTTGGTTGAATTTCACAACCTGAATGCACTTTACAAACCCTAAAACAACATACCACTGTGACCCAAGTAAGTGTCAGAGTTGCTGGTGTGAAGAGTTAGTCCAAGGACTCCTGACACTGGGACCGGGCTGCCTTCATCCTGTTACTTCGTCTATGTGACAGTTAATGTATTCTTCTGCTGTCATGTCATATGGCTTAGGTGGAGGAAGTTGGTACAGATGTGCCTTGGGTGGAAATATTTTTCTTATAGGGTAGATCTTCTTTTAAGTATTTAGAGGCATTTGTTATTTAGCAGAGCTCTGCAGTCAAACTTTTACATGGTAAAGAAACACTCGAAACAGTCTCTAAATTGTCTGCCCACTTAATTTATTTTCTACTATAGCAATATAAAACTAGAGTTGGGTTTTCTGATTACCAACAGACTTGGTTATCTCACTCATACAAGTAAGCTGAAGCTAAACAGACTGACTGTTCCTGTTCTCCTCTGCCACTTATGATCTCAGGCAAGTCTCTTACCTCTCTCATTTTTTATCTTTTTTAATAAAAAGTGGGTTTAGGACCATCTGCTTGTCTACACCCTCAGCAATGCTGGGGGATCAAGTGGGAAAATGCATGTGAAAATAGTCTGTAATAATAATTATGATAACAAGAATAATAGCTAACACTCATTCAGCATTTATTATGTGTCAGGCACAGCTTTGCATGAAGTAACTCATTTAATCCTTATAAAAATTCTAAGATGCTGGTATTGTTATTATTCCCATTTTACAGACAGAAAACCAAGGCACAGAGGCTAAGTAACTCGCACAAGTCACAAAGCTACTAAGTAAAGAAGCTGGAATAAATGACCATGTGCTACCTATACCCTGAGTACAGTGATAATATAACATTTTACCTGCAGAGACTACAAAAGATAAAATAAGTATCACAGGAAAATTAAATAATCATTTTATAGATGAGACAATTGAGGTTCGGCAGGGTTTCACAGTTTGCCTAATTATATTTTCAGAGTATATATAATTTAGAATATATTTAAACTAGTCTGAAGTGTTCTGTTTTTAAATTAAGGGAAGTAGAGCAAATCTTTTGAAAACAGATTCAACGGTCAATTTTAAATTCTAGTGGCCTAACCAGCTATTATACTGGGAAATTATAGATTAAATATGCCTGGACATGTATAACAATAAGGGCTTAAGAAATATTAGCTACTATCCCTATAAATGTCCCAATGCCTGCATCAGAGTCCCAAAGCACATCAAGAGTTCTAGACAAAATAGTATAGTTCTTTTTGAAAGTGGGAATAAGCAATTATAGTCTCTGGATTTGGAGAGTAATAAAAAAGTGGAGTCTCTAGGGTGAACTTTTTGCTTTCCTTTTCCCTAATTGATCTATTTAAAAAAAAAAAAATTCACATCCTAATCAAGATAAAACATTTAGAAATAGATTTTAATTCATTTCTTTTCACTGAATGCACAGGGGTACTTAATAATATCAAAAATCTAGTTAGAAAGGAGAAGGTAAGGTTAACCCACCTACTAATGAAACAACACTTTTAAAAAGGAAGGATGCATAATCCCTGTGGGCCAGCTGTGTGCCAGGCACTCACAGGCCAGCAAGTGCAAACAGCATCGTCAAATCTGGCTCTTCCTCTACTAGCTGGGTGGCCTCAGGCAAAGTTACTTCATTTGTCTGACTCTATCAAGAGCCTCTCAACACACAGCTGACCCAGCTGACCCTCTAGCATGGAATCACTGGAATCCAGGCCAACTGCTGTCCCCTATGGGATTTGGTGGGATTTGTCACCTTGTTTCAAGGCCTACTCACAAGACCCTAGAGATACTTTTTGGAGTCTTTCAAGATCAAACTGGCCAATCTACACAGCTACAAGAGATACATCATGGGAATTTAGTGGATAAAAAGCGCCCTATTTGGCATTGAACCAAGTGGATATCAAGAGTCTAGCTGAGCCAAGATTCCCTTAATAACAAGTGTGTATGATATCCTGTCAGAATAGTGCAGGTCTTCTCTATCTCATTCACCACCCACAACCTTCTCAAAGCTAGGCCCACTAACCTCCACTACGTGTTCTCTCCAGGCACACACCAGAGTTGAACACTAGGGAGGGAGAGATGCATTCTTATCTTGGATAGACAGGCTGTGATTTGAAAGTACTACAAGGTACACCTGGCTGGCTGGAGTCTGGGTGGGCAGTTGAGGCTGGATTTCACATGAACTCATTACCCGCATGGCTCCCTATGCAGCTTAAACCATGAAATGTGGAGCACATGCATGCTCCAACCATTTCCCACAGTGGCCTAGCTTCCACCCAGTTCACTGTGCCTGCTGTCCAATCTCTAATTCAGCTAACAGGGCCTTTGGGCTTGAGGCTGCTGAAGACAGATTACCACTGAGCATTAGAGCTCTGGGAAAAACAAGCTCCTCTACTGAGATGTTGAACATAACAACACCATAGTATCTGTAGAAAGAAATTTCCAAGACTCCAGATTTCTTATTTATACAGACTTCTGTGACTATAGCCTCCACTGCAACTTCAGTCTACAAACATGGCTAACGAAGTGCTTTCGAGCTTGGGAGTTAAATTGCTCCTGACAGTATGTTGTAAAATAGCAAAACTGAAAATGGTGATAACCTGGGGACAAAATATATATGTAATATTGGGATCACAATTTTTTAGGAATTAATTAGCACTTGTATATCATATCCTTCTTGCCTAGCATTTATACAGGCTCAAAACACGCTAGCTAGTGTGATAATAATCCTTGCAGATCTCCTAGAGAACAGGCATGATCACCTTCAACTAGCACTGTTGGTGGCTCACCTGTCATTTATTGGGAGAAAGCATTCTCCCTATTTACAAGTAAGGAAACTAAAACAAGGAGGTTAGAGAAGTTACTAAGATTGCCTACTACATGCAGAGTAAAGTAAGGATCCAGATGGAGGCAGTTCCACTTTGGAATTTGAGCTATTAATCTCTATACCCTTCCATCTCCTCTGTTTATGTGAGGAGACTAACATCTACATAGAACTTGTCTGCTGTCATGCTGTTACCTGGATGGTACATAAAAGTCCAAATTACAGCTACATCCCTGTTTAAACAGTAAGCCATTTCTAAATCTGAATCCTGAGGACTTTCATGAAGCCAGAGGGGTTTTCAGACATTATGACACGCAGCAAGAAAGTACACAGAATTTTTTTAGATGAAAAGCCCCATCCAACAGTGGCTGATAACATCTTCTGTTCTCTGATAACCCCCTTGCTACTAGAGCAGCTGAAGATGACTCCAAATGCATGAATCTGTTCATCTGTTCACATGCTAAAAGAATAAGTCCTGGCAGTTTATGATTAAAGAGGCATGAAAGTCCCCAGATCACAAATGCCCTTTCAAAAATGTTCCACATTTGTTCTGGCTTCAAGCCATGATAAAGTGTTTCCAATCAAATGCATCAGCTAAAATGAACCCATTTTCTGAAACAGCAGTGGCTAGTTTGGGTCCAGCACTTATAAAGAAAGGTTCCTGGTGTCACAGACCATGAAGTAAGACTGTTTGAAGTTGTTTCCATGGAGAATCCCAGAAGACCTTAAAACTTCTGAGCAGGAAGATCCCTGACCCTTGCCCAACTCCTTTCCACTTAACAATGATGCAACTGAGCTGAAGAGACTTGTCCAAAGCCACTGAGCAGGTTAGTTAGTAGCAGGGCTAAAATCTGTAATGAGGAGTTGGTCATGCCCAGGTTGCAAACAGCCTTGTCCAAGGCATACTTGAAGTAGATACTTTGCACCCTCACCTTTCACTAGGCCTAACTTCTGGTACAAACCTGTGGAGTCAAAATCTGATTTTCAATATTGTAAAAAACAAAAACAAACAAAAAAACTCTCATTTTCCAGATCTCTCAATGAAAACTTTAGGGCCAAATCAAGAAATCATAAGGCTATCATAGGCCCTTACATAAAAATGGTCTTAAAATATATACACAATCTCCTTTTCATAGAAGACTGAGAGCCAGAGAGATAGAAATATAGAAAGAGAGGGAGAAAGAATACTTTGCCCCTGACATACACACACAAAAGTACTTGGCTTCCTGAAAGAAAAAAAAAAAAATCTCAAACTCCTTTGTCTTAAGGGCAGAGAGAAAGGTGACAAAATTTGAAATAAAGTGGGCGACGGAAGACAGGAATGGGCAAACTCCAGCTAGCCTGGAACTATCCCGGTTTCCGCTGTGACCCAGCCTAGGGGCTTCCCCTCGGTCGGCCCCTGCACGGAAGGCCGTGCCTGACACTGGGCTGCGTCATTGGTAGAACTACCCACGCCCAGAAAACGAGCTGGAGTGGAGAGCAGAATGCAATTGCAGCCAATCTTCCTCAGGTTCCCTGGGGAGGCCTGCTCTGGGCAGAGAGATCCCAGGGGACTGTGCGGGAAGGAGCTAAAGCAATAGCCCAAAAGCTCCAGGGAATGCACTTGAAGTTTCAAACATTTTTCTTTTCTTTGAAACTAAGTTTCCAGTCCACCAGGAAAAACTGTCTCGCGACCTAGGGATTTTAATCTCACGCTTGGCCGCAAACCGCTGCCTCAAGACTAGAAACTGGCCGCGAGGCGCTCTAGCCCCCTGACCCCCTCCCCCGGCGCTCACCGGCGATATCCCAGAGCTGCAGGCGCACCACAGTCTCCGGGTCCCAGTGGAGCACCTTGAGCGCGAAGTCCACGCCGATTGTGGCCCGGTAGTGCGAGGAGAAGTTCTGGTGCACGTAGCGCTTGATGATGCTGGTCTTCCCCACGCCCAGGTCGCCAATCACCAGCAATTTGTACAGGTGCTCCTTGTGCGGCGCCTGCATCCTGGCGGCCGGCCGGCCGTGCAGTGCCAGACCAGGGAAGCACAGCCAGGGCTCTGCGCAGGAGAGAGACTTGGGGAGCGCGAGTGTAGGTGCAAAGGAGAGGCGTGGGCGGCAGGGCGGGGGCCGGGGGGCGGAACTCCTCCCCTAGGGGTTAATCCTCCTTCCTACTCCGCGATCTTGGAGAGGGGAGGAGACAGGAGTTAGTCCCGGGACTGGCAGCTGAAAGGATTTCGCGTGTGGTTGCGTGTTGCAGTGCTTATTTATCCGGCGCTTTAGAGTTTCCGAAGAGCTGTTTTCGCCTGTGACCCTGGCCACAAACTTATGAGGTGTGGATCTTATTTTCCACGTTTTGCTTGCGAGAAAACTGATTGTGAAAAAGTACTCTGCGGGAGATGGCCAGTGAAAGGCTCCGCTGAACCCAGGTCTGAAGTCACAGGGCTCCGAACCACCCCACACTGTAGAGAGAAAGTACAGTGTTAGGAAGCCGGAGACTGGCTGGACTTGGTTCCTGAGTGTCCCGGTTTTTAAATTGAGGGACCATAAGTAAGTCATTTGAGCTCCCCCAGCCTGTTCTTTCTCAATGAATGGCAATGCTGACCTCTCAGCACCTTGGAGGTGTGAACACTGAGCACTTTCACACCCATTCAACTGGCAATCAGTTAACAAGGAGGACAGCTGGGCCGAAAATGCCAAGGGCACTCGTGACTTTTAGCCTCTTCTCATATCTTCTCATATCCTAAAAAGTCTGAGCTGCACAGAAAGACAGTTTTAACAATTGGTCAGATTATTACAAATAATAATAATGGCAAACATTTATTGAGCACTCACTATATGCCAGAGGGTTTATAAATTATGTCTTTTAATCTTCCCAGCTGTCTTAGTAATAGATACTCTTTTTCTTCCTATTTTACAAATGAGGAAACTAAGGACTAGACGTTTTAAGTAATGGACCCAGAGTCAAATAGTAAGGAAAAAAGCCAAATCAAGCACAGGTCTTGAGGTTCCTAACGTTTTTTGTTGTTGTTGTTGTTGTTTGTTTTCATTCATTTGACCAATATACATTGAGTACTACCATTCACCACGCACAGGTCTGTGTACTTGGCATGATACAGAAATCCTAATGCAGACAATGACTACTGGCCTCAAAAAAATTTACCTTCTTGTGGGTGGAGACAGACAAGACAAAATAAGTACAATTTGTCATATATTAATTGGTAATAAAATAAGGCAGGAAAGGGGATGTGAAGAGATTATATGGGGTTTGCCTTTTAGATAGGGTGGCCAGGGAAGGTTTCAGTAAGAAGGAGACAATTTAGTAAAGACATAAAGAAAATGAGAAATTGGGCATTCAGGTCTAGGGGGTGAGCAGTTTATACCAAAATGAGCTATTTTGTACCTGAATGTGCAGTGAATGGAGCGCTGCTCACATTCTGTTGTTTCATCTTCTCAATTGCTTTATGAAGTGGGTTATTTTCTTCGATTTATAAATAAAGAAACCAAGATTAAGAGCACCTTTCTCAAGGGCACACATAACTAGTATGTGTTAGAACTGGGACTTAGAGTCCTGTGTGAAAGGGAGAAAGGAGGTTTGGCAAGGCCATTGTCTTTCTGCCTTCCTTCTCTGGCCTGACACACCCTAAACTTTAGCCTCCACATGCCCCAAACAAGCAGAGGGATGCCCTAGATGTGTAACTGGGACAAGTCACATAACCTCTCTCAGCCTTGGTTTCTACATCAACAAAAGGAGAACGATAATACCTGTGGCCGGGCACGGTGGTTCATGCCTGTAATCCAAGCACTTTGAGAGGCCGAGGCGGGTGAATCATTTGAGGTCAGGAGTTCAAGACCAGCCTGGCCAACATGGTGAACCTTGTCCCTACTAAAAATACAAAAATTAGCCGGGCGTGGTGGCGGGTGCCTGTAATCCCAGCTACTTGGGAGACTGAGACAGGAGAATAACTTGAACCCAGGATGCAGAGGTTACAGTGAGCCAAGATCGCACCATTGCTCTCCAGCCTGGGTGACCTGAGCAAGACTCTGTCTCAAAATAAATAAATAAAAAAAATAAATAAATAAATAAATAAATAGAAATAAAGTTGTTGAGAAAATGCTGGGTCCACAGTAGGTGGTAAATAAATGGTAGCTATTAATATGAAATGAGGGACACGCTTTAAATACTGTCCGCAGGCACTGTCCTGGGCAGTTTTATCTTTCCTCAGAGAGTAACTCAGAAGCTTTGCTCGGAATGGACACTAAGTGACAGTGTGTAGAATTGCACTCATTTGTGTTTTATGGAAGTGCTTAGCTGGGTAGGCCTCATTCACTGGTTTCCACCCACGCAGGGACACACCAAGAAGATTATATCTAATAAGTGAGACAGATATTCTACCTGCTTAAAGAATTAGCCAACCATGTCACCTCACTTCCCAGGGAGGGGAATTCAGGAGCACAAGATGCTGAAGCCATTCTAAATGCCTGCAAAATTAGGAAGGATGACAAAATGAGACCTTTGCCAGCTCTAAAATCCTGGGTCTGTAAATCTGAGAGACAGACTTTGTCTGCCCAACGAGCTCCTAGGGTAGAAACGAGGTAGGAGTTTGAGACATCTTGTGGGGCAGCCCTCAGAATTATACCCAACCCAACTTTCTCACCAGCCCCAGACTGTTTTCCCAAGCCTGGTCCAGGCAGAGTCATCCTCACTGTTGTCTGTTCTCCTCTTTTGAGCAAGAGCATATTGAAACATCAGACATTTTGATTTATGAGGTAGGACAGGCAGGGCAAAGTTCGGAATTTCTGGGTCCTGAAGCTGATAACATTGGAGGAAGGAGCTTTTTAAGCAAAAGAATGCAAAATCAAAAATATCTAATTAGGTCTAGGGCCTTGAAAGGGATCCTGAAGCTTCAGTTTTATTGCCTCTCTGGGGGTAGGAGATTCCTCTCTCAGGGACAGCAGCCAACCATGGTGAGCAAGCTCCTTTGCCAGGCAGGAAGTATGTGCAGTTTGTTTCCAGCAGTACTCATTTAGGTCTCATGATCATTCTTCACAGTGGGAAGAAATTACTCTCGGTTTATATTTTTAAGACTTTTAGATTAAAGTAGCTTGGTAAGCACCCCGGCCTTGCAGTTCAGTAAAATCTTTGTAAAAGTTGCCTAGGTCTCTGAACCTGAAAGTCCCCTGGTTTAAATGAGGGAGTTAGGTTGCAAGATCTCTGGAAAGTCCTTTGGACTCTAAAATATCAGAATTCTGGGTGTTCTAGACATCGTCTGGTAAGACTTACACCCTAGCTGATTCTAGTCACCCTACAAGAGCACCACTGCCCAAGAGGTGATGTTTTCTCTCCTCTTTTTAGGTTTGGAAGAAAGGCCATCTCAAAGCAAACATGATACCATAGATCTCTTCTGGTTTCATAGTGCTGTCCTTTCCTCTGCTGAAGTACATTTTCCCACAAGACAAAGGCAATCCAAGAACATTTTTTGTGGGGGGCAAACCTTCCTGTACTCCCCTTCCTTGCTTTGGACTTCTTTTCTACTCTCGGAACTAGGCTGCAGATAGGGAGTCAGGTAGTCAGGGACAAACTATACACTGGATCAAGCCAGACAGTGAATAGATGGAAAGGATATTATCAAGCAGCTAGACTATTCTTGCCTCTTCTTTCAATCAACCCTGTCCCCTGCAATTATGATGCTTCTCGAGAACCTACCTTCCCCAACCTGAACATATACCTGTCAAGATGGTTTAGGATTGTCAGGAAGATCTCAGCTTTTTCTGACACAAAAGAGCCAGTGCTTCCTCCCTCTGGAGAGAACAGCTGTGCCATTCGTCCCCCTCCTAGCAGCCACACTGCACCATGGAAACCTGTTCTCCACAGTAATTCTCAAAACATCTCTGGTGATGTTTTGACAAGCTTACTACCCTCAAATTGCTAAACCATAGCACATCTTCTCACCAAGGTTGGGAAGGCCAATGACTCAAGTTTGTAAAAGGTGTGTGAGACCACGAGGTGCTCAGAATTCAAGCCAAGAATGATATCCCAGAAGGCACAGCATTAGATTTCTCTGAATCTCCATTCCCTTTCTATCCAATGTGGGTACCTATTCTTATGAAATGGAAAAACTAATTATAATGATTGCAAATTGCTTTGCAAATGTAAACTTGAAGGGGAAAACCCTCATGTTTTCCTCCTAGAGATACTGTATTTGGTGAGCCCCTGTGAAGTTACATTATTTGCTTTTGCCATTAAGAGAGCCATGGGGAGTTATTCATTAGCTTATGTGAGCTTTTAATTATTGCCCTGAAGAAATATGTAAATGACTGCAAGATGGGGTCCCAAGGGCTCTCTTACAGAAAAGGTAATCTAATTTTTCTTAGATTAATACAAGAAATATGTCTTAAAACAGATGAACTTTACTCTGCAAAAGGCCTGGAAGAAATGACCATATATTTTATCATTCAAACTATGACTCTTGAGAGTGAAAGGGGGCACTATGAATAATTATACCAGACAACAGGAACAAGCCAGGGCTTTCCTAAAGAATATTCATTCCCTGGTGTGAACCCGGGAGGCGGAACTTGCAGTGAGCCGAGATCGCACCACTGCACTCCAACCTGGGCAACAGAGTGAGACTCCGTCTCAAAAAATAAATAAATAAATAATAATAATAAAAAGAATATTCATTCCTAAAGAAGAGGGGGAAGTTGGGGCTTTCAAATGAGATCTACAGCTGTAGGGGCTTTGAAAAATTCTCCTAAACCACAATTTTAATAAATAGGTCTGCCAAGTTAAAGTTGCAGCTTATTTTTTTCTTGTCTTCAAAAAGTTCTCTCTTTACCCATTAGGCTTGTTTGAAACCTGTGCTAACTTGCAATTGGAGTCATCTAGTATTCATCCAGGATTGCAGCAGGTGTCTAGAAGTAGGAAGCAACTTTTGGGTTATTTGGAGAGAGGCCAAGATGGATTCTGTATGGGATGTGCTTGAAATAAATGCTCTCCAGTCTATGAGAAATTTGTGTCTAGATTTTTTTTTCCAGAAAGAAAGACTACAATAGGATATTTATGGGTTATCGTGAGAAACTGATTGCAAGTGCATTTTTTAACCCACTAATAGT